GCCGTCTTCATGGGATCCATTTTCTTTTCGTGGAAAAAACAGGAACACAAATCAAACAAAGAAGATGAACATCACAAGTCGGCGGACGCTGATTTGGCTGATAAAGCGGCAAATACCGCGGCAACTACAGACCAGAATCCTTCTAAATCAGCACTCAATCCACAAACTTCAGACACATCAAAACCGTCGATGGATTTTCATGATATCGAATCTTATCAACATCCAATAGTATTTCCTCCACATATGCCTCCTCCGATAGTTCATGATGGTCCAATGCGAGTACAAATTAATATGGATACTTATATTCGTACCAAACCTATTGATGAAGAATCATGTTTTGACTGGTGGACTTACAATGGTGGATCACCTGGGCCAATCATTCGAATACGTCTTGGTGATGTCTTAGAAGTTCATTTTACTAACAATGATCAAAGTGGTATGCAACATAATATTGATTTCCATGCTGTTGAAGGTCCAGGTGGTGGATCTTCATTATTGACTGTCAATCAAGGACAAGAGAAGATTGCTATTTTCAAGCCATTACGTGCTGGTCTGTTTCTGTACCATTGTGCCATGGCACCTGCTCCTGTACACTTGGCTCAGGGAATGTACGGATGCGTGTTAGTAGAGCCCGAGGGTGGATTACAGCCCCCAGCACAGAAAGAATACTGTATTGTTCAAGCTGAACTATACACAAGTGAGAGAATAGATGAAAAAGAACCGGTTGTGTACATAGGCCCTGATGATGAAGTAAATAGGGAGAAGATAGAAAATGAACTGAAAGGACTGAGTCGATTAGACATGGATATCGAAGCAGGAATGCTTGAGAAAGCTACCTATGTACTGTTTAATGGTAGAAAAGGAGCAGAAGGTTATAATTTTCCTGAACATACCGATGAGAGTATTGGTCTATTAGCGGATAATTTGCTAGCCGAACCAGGCGATAATATTCGTATCTTTTTTGTGAATGCTGGGCCGAACTTGGTCTCTTCTTTTCATCTTATCGGTGGATGTTGGGATAGGGTGTGGCGAGAAGCGGATCTCATCTCAGCACCAGCACAAGCTATACAGACGACACTAGTACCTGCTGGTGGTTGTGTCGTGGTGGATTTCCAGCCTCATGTACCAGGAACATATACTATGGTTGATCATTCACTCTTTAGAATTGAAAAAGGCGCAGTCAAATTCATCCATGTAAAAGGTGATCCACTAAGTAGACCTGATCTGTATGCAAGCGGTAGCGGACATGGCCTCGAAAACTGTGAAGCATGCAAGTTGCATCCCAAGTGATTGACGTCTAATGCACAGCTTAAAAATTTTGGTATCATCTTTTGTTGATTGTAAGACTTTCTTAGATACCATAAAATGTTTGTCATGTTTTTTTTCAAACAGTATTCGTTTTCTATTACAACAGTACTCATACATCTGCTCTATCGCACGCTTATTTCTTCTTTTTGTTGTTTGATTATTTTCTTTTCTTTTTTGTTTTATATCAGTTTATTCTGTTACTAGTGGCTTTTTCAGTCATTGTTGATTTCATTTTGTTCATTGGCTCTTTATATCAAAGAAAATATTTAAGCGCACAAAGTTTTTTTTATTATTGAAAAATTTCCTGTGGGAAGACTAGACAAACAATCGAAAAAGCAGAATTTTCTATTTTTCATCAGTATTACACTCAAAGAAACCATGCCTATGAAAATGACATTTTGCAACAGCATATAAAATTTTCCTGCAGTACTTATTATTTGAAGGGTGTGGATATGAGTGATTTCTCCATTCACATTCCATATTCACACACATACTCTAGCAATAATGATGACACAATAGTTTGATAAATTCATGCGTAACTATGATATCTCTATTGGTATTCATTGAATAATAAATTCTAGATGTATTTGCTAGTGTTCATGTGGCTGACGAGAAGATTCACAACTACATCCATACCCACATCCAAAAAAACAATAGTTGGACAATCTGAATGTAGATTCATCACTGCCTTTTTCGTTTTGATATTCATAACTCATAAATAGAGATGTTCGGGATCGAGTTTTTCTTATAGTTTAGGTAAACCTGTTCTAGTCGCGATTGCACTCTACCCATAGAGATCTATAAACCTTAAACAAAGTTCTCTGATGAGCTGGTGTTGAAAAGTACTGGCAAGAGAAGAGGTGTTCTCTAAAAATCATGAAACATCTAACTATAATTGATCATTAGTCCTGATTCACTCAACTTTTGATTATCTATTGTCGCGAGCTCAGGTCTCGGTAATTTCTCTTTTTCATAGTGGTCACACATTTCTATTCACGAAAGAACATACTTAGCTAAGGACCATCAGCGAATATAACTCAATACACTCTTCATCTTCGTTTCGGAATATTTTATTAGCAATATTGTCAATAAACAAGTCTTATAATCATTAAAATATTATGAAAGCTTTTACTCAAATAAATATTTCGTTGAAGAAAGATTTTATTCTCTCTAAATCTTTCACAAGCCATAATAAATGTAGTGGAAGAATATCATTTTGTTTTATATTCTCATTGATGTCAGAGAAAAAATTCGTTCAAAAACAACGCCAATTTTTATTTGTATTACAATACGTATGATTAAAAAACGTAAGACAAATGTTCAAGAAAAACAAATTAGCAAGTAAGATTAGTTGTTACTTCTGGAAGACCAAAACATTTGCGTACTCGATGATAAGTTTGTATTCGTTCTGCTTGCATATGATATCCAGCTTTACCAGAACATTCATATTCATTTAATTTTCGAGTTGTACCACCAAAATTATCTTGTTGAGCTAATTGATTCATCTCAGTTTCTTTATAATACCAAATAGCTGTTGATGCAGCTATTTTATCTATTTTACTAACTAAATCTGGATTGTTAAGTAAATCAAGACCAAGAGCTTTTCCAGCATTATAATAATTACAAGGATAAGATAATTGAAACCATCCACGGCCGTAATACTTCATATTTGGACGAGCTTGAATTGAACACCATGATATTTGATAATTATTACAAGCTGTAAAAATACAAAGAAAAACAAAAATTCTTAATTTAACAAAGAAAAAAAAATGTCTTTATCACATACTGTCTTGTTTAGAACAATATTCAGCAAGAGTTTTTAAACCATCAGTTTCATGTGAAACATGGGCAAGAAATATAGCTGCTTCTGTACTATTTACTGGTTTCCATTTCATTTGTTTCATAGCTTCTATTAAACCGTTCAAACGACGAACACGTAGATTAGTATCAATATTTGAAAATATGCAAGCGAAAACTTCTGGTGTTATGTCAAAACCAGTATGTATTGTTTTAGATGAAATTTTACATGGACCTGATTGACAACCATCCCCACAATATGCATCTGTGCGACCACAATAACCCCATTTTGAACAACATTCATTTTGAGAACAAGAACAATTTGGTCGAATAAGACGTTTTAGAAATTGAATAAATTCACTAGCTAAATTACTTTTAACTTCGTGCAATATGAAAGAAAGAAATATAATCAATACGAACGACACTTGAATAATGCGCATTATGTAAGATAGAATCAACTAAATACTTGTTAATTTTATATAATTTTCAATATGTATACATACAAATATACGACGATTTGATAACTGTGATAATAGGCATTTTATTAAAATAGCTTTTTTCTCTTCCCACCAATTCTTTTTGTATTCTTATCCTATTAATAAAAAATATCATGATACGTGTATACATGCGGTTATTTTGCAAAACAAAAAAAATATATATATCGCATTGTCTTATAACTCAAGTACATTCGAAGAAAACAAAAACACTTTTGAATTAGGTTTTTATTGAATAAATCGAATTATTTTCATTTTTTTTCTGAAAATTCCATCATATATCAATGCCAATTCGCCTTGGTATATTAGCCAGAATAAAAAAAAAATGTTTATCTAGCTATCGAGTACTGCTATTCAGAAACAATTCTCTTCCAAGCATTCAGGCAATTAATGCTCATTAATAAATCTGTTATTCGATGCCGATTTATTTTTTTCTCTGTCTATCATTTTTATCAATGAACACATTCCATAATCCAACAATAATAATCGGCTATGATTGATCAAGAAGACTTAGTAAACATTTATTATTCAATAATATTTTCTGTGTTCATATGTTAAAACATTTTTCATATTACTTTTCATTTCCTATCGTCTATCTACCCTTTGTATAAAAAGACAAGTGGTCGTGAGAATACTTTTTTTTGTTCAAACATATATCACATCGAAGTATTTGATTAGCAAATACTTATTCTAAAAAGCATCATGTCTAACTATACATAAAATGAATGAACAGAACGCATAGAAATATTTAGCACAATATCTGATTGTTTAAAAAAAAACTGTTCGATGTAATAAATGCTTTTTTTTTCTATGTAATCTGATTTACCGCAAATGACAATGATGAAAGAAAATACTCGATCATTTTTTTATTTTTCGTTCAAAGTATTGATTTGCCGCTTTTAGTCTTTACTCGTCTTCACTTGACTGAACCGTGAACTCAATGATAAGATTATCTTGATGCCATATAGATATTCTTATCATTAGTCATGCTGAATTTAAGATCTATCTATTTAATCGATAGTAATGGAATTGTTACAATGTCTGTAACATAGTTGTTTGATTTTTCTCGTCTCATCGACGAATTACACTATACTAATCAGTATTACAAATGAATTCATCTATTTATTTTTTTTTCCTTTCCTCTTTTCTTTTCAGCTTATGAAAAGAGAGAAAAGAAAAAGAGAACGAACACAAGAAGAGAAATGATGATGATGAATGTTCAACGCATATGTATGTGTAGAAAGCGTCATTATTCTTCTCATCCTCTCTAACAATTATCGCATTGCTTCTTACATTTATTTGTTGTTGCCGTCTGTTGATACACTTTAGAATCATACAATTAAATATGTTTCTATTATAATAATTACTATTTGAATCCAATCAACAACAAAAAGAAAAACGATGATCATATTTTTATTATCATATAGTATCTATATACTTTTATTATTTCAACAACATATTATCAATGCATGTCCTTCTGTATGCTTATGTCATGGACCTAATGTTGATTGTAGCAATCGAGCATTACATATCATACCATCTGGAATATCAAAAAATGTATTTAAACTGTAAGTTTTTTTTTTTTAATCTATCATATTAAAAAATATATTGAAACGTTGATGATTGAATTAGATCAGTGTTAATCATTAATGATATCATTACGCACAATTGAACCTTCTAGGTATCTGTTTTCTATGATGTAATCTAAATAATGACTAAAAGAGTTTCTCATATTTCCTAATAAATCTATCGATGGCTTTTTATGTCCTTCATAATAAAAATATCATTACGTTGCTTCACTTCATTAACAACTGTATGTTATTGTTATGCAACTATTCAGTTAGTCTCGATTGATTTAAATTCTGCTAAAGATATTTGTAGACAGATACTTCTTCTTTTTCACTCGCTGTTGTATATCTATATTACATCATCGAATCTATTTATACAACAGCAAGTATTTATACTAATCTTGACGTATGAAATGGAACAATATCAGTGAGATATGTATATGCACTTGAGTATTTCTCATTATATTAATGAAGGATGTTTAAAAGATATTATATTGTATATATATATATATATATATATGGTATTTTATAAATAAAAAGTCAAGTACATATTATTGATCAGTCAAATGAAATCTTCACGAAAAACTATAATTACAATTCATAAAAAAATAATTGAAAATTTTCTTTTTTTTTATCGATTATATCATCTTTAGACAAATAGAAAAAGACTTGACGTATCCAATTTAAATAAACAATAAAAAACAGAGGCAAAGTACTAGTATATGACTGGTCATTAAAGCACTATGTCATGATTATGAATTATTAAGGAAATATATATTTTAATCATGAGGACGTGCAGGCGAAAGTCAGGAGTAGATATGTCCAAGTCGAAATAGTATCCGATTGGTTAGGAATTATGGAAATTGATGCTGAATGAATCAATCAGACTGCTATGAAGTCACGTTGATGTCCGGTCGATTTAGTATCCGGAACCTTATTAGACTAGTACATGTCTAGTGAACACACGCTTGTTATACTCATCAGCCACCTAATATTTATTATTTCTGTTATGATTTATAATAAACTTCATGATGAAAAACAAAATGCTTATCTAAATAATTGTATTATATAATTTTTTTCTTTTTTTTTTCATAGAGACTTACAATGGAACAATTTATCAATTATTGGAAAAGATGACTTCAAAGGCTTTCGTCAACTACGTATATTGTAAGTATGATTGATGATATGTACAATATATAAATCGATTGATCGTTTCTGTTAATTTTCATATAGAACATAAGATGACATGAGTAGGTGCTCGCTCATCTTTTGAACTCTTCTTTTTGTTTTTTTTTTTTAAATTTTATTGACAAGGTTAAGTGCTGTTTTGTTTCTCTTCAATATGTTCGTATGATGACAAGGTCAAGTAGTCAGACATATAAACAAAAAAAGAAAGTGATTTGTTATTATTTTGAGTAATTATAAAATATAATTTGCAATCATATGTATAGAAAATTTTAAAATTTCTCTTTTGAATATATTAAAATGATTGTTATTTTCTTTCATATATAGAAATCTTCAAGACAATCAAATACATACAATTGATATTGATGCATTTCGAGATTTAATATCCTTACAAAAATTGTAAGTACAATTGAAATCAAACAGTGCTTTTTATCTTTACTCCTTATATACTATCGTCATCATCATCATCATCATCATACTAAACGTTTTAATGATCAACAATCATCAAATTATTTATTACTACTGCTGTGATATTCTTAAAATTGCAGTGAGCAATAAGAATACAAACAGTTGGTTTGTATGATTGATCATGTCATTAGTCTCAATATGTATTGTTTGTTACATTGAACAGACACAATAAAAGAGATTTATGGAAACGAACAAATAATTTTACCTATTTTTTTTTTTTACTGTTCTTTAATTGCAATTGTCTAATGAGAGACGGTCAATATAATCGAGTGTATTTATGTAACATAAATGACTGACAAAGATGTGAAAATGAGATGATGACAACGATAGATATATGATAGGTATAGTTGATAAATGAGAGACAATATGGTCATGTTTTTGTAGACGTCTTAATGGCAATAAACTAAATCATTTTACAGATGGTACATTTATCACACTTAAACAACTTCAACGATTGTATGTTTGTATATTATATTTAAAAACAAAATAAAAAAAAAACATTTGCTTCTATTTTCAGGGATCTTAGTTCTAATCATTTACGAGTCATTAAAAAAGGCATGTTACAAGGTCTACAAGAAATTAATAATTTGTAAGTGTGTATAAAGTGAATTTGATTTCAATTAGTTTTTTTTTGTAAAAAAAACATTATCTAGACAACTGGATCATAATGAGATCTCATGTATTGAACCAGAAGCTATCAATGGACTTCAACGATTAGAGATTCTGTAAGTAATAGTATATTGATTAATTTTTACTTATATGAATATATAAATTTTTTGTTTTCTTTTTCTAGCACATTGAATTCTAATAATTTAACAACTTTATCTATGTTACCATTTGCACAACTAAACGACTTAAGAGTTTTGTAAGTATAGATGTAATAGACATATTAATATATATATGTAATTTTATTGAATATTATTTTATTTCTTAAAGACGATTACATGATAATTATTTTGTATGTGATTGTCGTTTACTTTGGCTTGCAAAATATCTTAAATTTCATCTATTTCTTGGTCTTAATACACAATGTCAAGATACTAATACATGGAGTTTTAAAGATATAATATCATTAATCGATGATGCAAAACAATGTAATCGTATGGGTAAAATTTGAAATCAATATAAAATAACACAATAGATTTTCTCATTTTTAAATAGATACTGATGATATTGATTATACATGTAATGTATTTGTATGTCCATATCCATGTACATGTTTTAATGGTGTTGTTGATTGTAAAGATAAAAATCTTATAGAAATTCCAAAAAATATTCCAGATACAACAATTGAATTGTAATGTTTAAAAAGTTTTTTTTTTTTTTTTATTGTAATACAAAGTTTTTGAAATATATTTTAGACGTTTGGAAAAAAATCAAATTACGGAAATACTACCAAAAGTATTTATTCATTTGAAAAAACTTCGTCGTTTGTATGTCATAATTTTATTTTTGTTTATTTTTTTTCAATAAATTTTTCAAATTTCAGAGATTTAAGTAATAATTTCATTTCAATTATCTATCCAGATTCATTTACTGGTCTTAAATCTCTTAATTCACTGTAAGTAATTATATTTTGTTTTTTTTTATTATACATATAAATATATAAATGATTAGTATTCTTTATCGAAATAATCTCAAAATGTTACCATCGGGAGTATTCAATGAATTGAATTCTCTACAACTTCTGTGAGTGTCAGACAAAAATATAATGAGAATAAGGCATGTTTAATACTCATCAGCACATATTTACCGTCTTGTAATGAGAATGTTGATTGAAAAAGCATGAGAATGATCCTTTTCTAAAAACAAAAGTTTTCGTCTCTTTTTTTTCTTTTAAACCTTCATATAATTACTTGCATGAATCATTTTATTCTTATTTATTGCTTATGACTATAGTATACTTTCGAACAATCTGCTTGTACATTTACCATTCGATGTATTTAATCATGAATTCAAACATTTACAACTCTTGTGAGTAAGCATAGTGTTTAATAGCATGTTGTTTGATTTTATCGTTTTTTATTTTTGCTTGTATTATTCATTTTTAACAATATAATTCTATTCGATTCATATAGATTATTAAATGCAAATAAAATAGTCTGTATACGTGTTGATACATTTCGTGGTTTAGAAAAATTAAGTTTATTATCATTATATGATAATCAATTAAAAAATTTAATAAATGGAACATTTAGTTCATTGAAAAATATTCAAACCTTGTAAATATTATTTCTATTTTCTTATTATTTAATAATTTAAGAGATGTTTTTTTTTGTTTTTCATTTTTCTTAAAGACATTTAGCTCGTAATCCATTTATATGTGATTGTCATCTTCGATGGTTAAATACATATTTACGTGAAAAACAAATTGAAACAAGTGGTGTTCGTTGTGCTGGACCACGACGTATGGCAAAACAAAAATTCGGTATTTTAAAAGATCAGAAGTTTCGATGTCAAAGTAAACAAAAAAAAAAAAAGAATAGCATTCACAAAATTATTTGATAAATAAATTTCTTTGCTTATTTTAATTAGATCGAATGAAATATTTACAAATATTAAATACAGCTCAATGTGAAATAGAATGTCCTAAAGGATGTAAATGTGATAGAACAACAGTAATATGTCGTGGATTACAATTACAAGAAATTCCTCATGATATACCAGCATTTACGACTACACTGTGAGTAATGTGATAAATGAAGAATGTCTATTATGAAAGGTGAAAAGATAGTTAGTGCAATGATTGTATAGAATGAATGGAGTTTCACAATATGTCTTCGACCTATGATTATTAACCCTGACTTGACCAATTTTACGTCTGCTACATGTTGTCTACTTGAAGTTGACGAGGACTCCAATTAACAAAATAATTGTAACACACGAAATTATTATGAATTTATCATGGATGTATGAAGACTCTTGAGAAGGCTTGATTACAGAAAAATAAACGAAAAAGCAGTTAGCTGAAACTATAGTTATCTAGTCTTTCTCTATTTTTGAAGTTTTTAATACCATGCATCACGATGCAGTATTGGCATAGATTCTAAATCACTCAATCTAAGATGAACAATTGTATATAATCGACTAATGTCATCAATGCATTGTGCTAAGTGTGCTCAAAATATATGTAAAAGGACATGATTCGATAAAATATTATGAATGCATAATATAACAATGAATCCTACTAAAATCCAGTCGACGTCAAGATAGTCAACAAGCGTTCACATGTACTTCAAGATGATCTACTCAGATAAATAATAGTTCAGTGTAACTAGTAAAGATTATCAGCATATTCTACTATTCTTCACTAGAGCATATATGAATGATTCTTTCAGAATTAAAATTACACTGGCTGTGATAAATCACAATAAAAATCCTAATCCTTTAGAGTTTTCACTAGAACACTAGGTAGTATCTATAGCGAGAAAAATCCTTGAAATTAGAATGGATCATCTGTGAAGATTCTCTTGTTGATGATATTGCTTATAGTCGATGGAAGTGCCATTTTCTACAAACTTCATAGATAACAATTGACTTCGTTAATTAACAGTCTTAATTTAGATTTTTCTCTGCTAACCGCTCAGATATTTAAATACAAGATAATTCCAAACATTCAGTTCAAGAATCTGTTGAAATATTCTTTATAAAGATAGTCTTTATTATCCAAATGTCTGAATATTCTTTAAATAATATTTTCAAATATTCATGTATCTATCATATTTGGTGAAAATTCTGAACTTTATTCTCTAACAAGTAATAGAATGTCTAGTGAATATATTTATTTAGTGATCTTCAAGATAATTTAATTAAACGAATATCACGTGATGGTAATTTACAACGATTAAAAAATCTTCGTATACTGTATGTATTTGAAGAGTATTAAGTAAAATATATTGAAATTTCTCTTCTTTTTTTTTTATATCAAATAGTGATTTAAGAAATAATCAATTAGAAGAAATTGATGATGATGTATTTGATGGATTTGATTCACTTAATCAATTGTAGATAAAAAATTTATGATTCGAAAAATTTTTTACTAAATTTTTCTTTTGTTTTAAAATAGATTTTTAAATAACAATAGTCTTCATAAAATAACAACACAGACATTTAATGGTTTAAAAAATCTTCAAATATTAAATTTAGATTCAAATAAATTAACATGTATTAAAAATGATACTTTTATAAATGTAAATAAACTTGAATTATTATCATTAAATAATAATCAAATTAAATACATTGCATCATTATCATTTGATCGTCTTCAATTGTTATCTGATTTGTAAAGATTAAGCTTTTTTTAAATATTAAATTTATTCTTTTGTTTTAGAAATCTTCAAGGCAATCTATTGGTATGTAATTGTCATATGAAATGGTTAAAACACAGTAAAATCCTCTCCGATCATCCCGAGTAAATATTTCAATTATTTAAATATTTCTGTTTTTTTCTTATTTTATTGTATTTCTATCTTAAGATGTATGTCACCAACAAAATTACGTAATATTCCGGTAAATACTATCATATAAAAAAAAAATCTTTAATTAATTTTTTTTCATTAAGATTGTCAATGTTACTGATGAAGATTTCGTATGTAACCGTAAGTATTTTTATCATAAACTAGCGCTTTCCTTACAAATCCCTGACAACCATTCTTCTAAACTTTCACTGAGTCAGCATTAAGAAATATTGTATTTTTATCTTCTCGGAATTATGAAGAAAAATTTTCTTCTCGTTCTATTTTAGCTACTGAAATTGATGTATGTGATACATCTTATTCAAATTCTTGTCCACAGAACTGTACATGCTATAATCGTATTGTACGATGTTCACATGCTCAATTAATTCGTATTCCATATGAAGAAATACCAATATATACTGAAGAACTTTATTTAGATTCAAATAATATAGAAGAAATACCATATGAATTAACTAATCATCTTATTTATCTTTTAAGAATTGATTTAAGTTATAATAAATTACATTTTATACCAGGAAATTTATTTTCAAATTTAACACGACTTGAAACATTAATATTATCCTATAATAAAATTCAATGTTTGGATTCAAATTCATTTAAAGGTTTAAAAAATTTAAGAATTTTGTATGTAGTTTTGATTAGAAAAACTTTTTCTCGAAAAAGAAAATTATTTAAATTTTAGATCAATTCATGGAAATGAAATTTCAACAATATCAGAAGGTACATTTAATGATTTACCAATTTTATCACATATGTAAGAAGAAAATTTGAATATAATCAAATAACAACTTAGACATTTGTTTATAGTGCACTTGGTAGTAATCCATTTTATTGTGATTGTCATCTTGCCTGGTTATCATCATGGATTAAAACAGACTATGTTGAACCTGGTAAGAAAGCTGTTAACATATATTATGAGACACCTTTCTTCAACAATTTTTACTGAATTTTTTAGAAATGGAGTGAGGAAGCGGCTCATATTTTGTAACGAGACTTCATTGATAAACAGGCTTTGATTAGTGTCTATCACGATTAGAGCCCACTGAGTGCAGAGTTTTCCAATCCAATTTGGATTCGTTAGATTCGGATCCTTAGGTTATGTTTCAGGAAGGCTAATCTGGCTTTCATCCATTTTTGATAATTTTATTTATATAGTTAAATTTAGAATAAGTCTACAATGAAAACTGACATCGATCTATTGTTTATACTGATGACAAAACTAGTTGATCAATATCAAATTTTAAACTTTCTAGAGAAAAATGTATCTATTTAATAAGGGGGATATAGACATGAAGCAACATATTTTGTTAATAAACAAGTATCGAAATAGTAATATTTGGTTTCTTTTTTGTGATCGGATGTTTTGTCGTACGAACAGAATGGTGTAACATTCTATAGCATAATAACTATATCCATGCATTACTTACTAATTTTGTAGAAAGTAATAATTAAAAGTGACTGAATACTGAATTGAAAGCCGATTGATACATGTACAGAATCTGCGAAGATTTTTCTGCAGACACATCCAAAGAAATCTTACTTAAAACATTATTAAATTATGTAGATGACAGAAAAATTTTCAAGACTTATACAAAATATTTGTGTGGTGCTCCAAAATCTTTATTCCATGAAGAGAATCTAGAAGACTTTGAAACAAAAGATCCTTCCTATGTGATAGTAGAGTATCTTTGTAAATTTTGTAAATGTGTCGATAGTTTTGTTATTTAGTATTCAATTGTGTTTAATAACTATCATATTACTATTTTATTTTTCTTTACTCTAAATCATTAGCGTCTACACCATAAGATGGTACTACACAGGTTCACATCTTCAGACTTCATATTTTGGATATATAGGAAAAATCTGAAGATTGAGAGAATTCCTAAAAAGAACCAGTCATATAGGCCTTCTTGACAGAATTATAACCGTTCTGTTGGATTTTTACTAAAGAACTGGGCATTCACGAAAATATTGAACAAAGAGTTTTTGTCTACAAGAAGATCTCAGGATTCTAAAAATAGTCTGCAGTTTCAATTAAAACGATTATTTTCTTCTTTAGATATTCAAAATTTAATAACTAACGGTTTTTGACCATAGAATATCTCAAGAAGATAATAGCCGTTTTCACTGAAACTTGTAGAACATTCTTAGAATCACGTAAGCTAGTTTTGGACAACCTTGCAGATCCAGAAGAGTTTTCTTAAATTTTCCTAATAAAAACCCATCCAATAGCTAAAAATCCATCACAACTATCATAACTCTTTCGTGTTGGCCTATCAACTTGTCTGCTTATTGCGATTCTTCTTGTCTTGAGACTTGATTCAGAAAATTGTAAGATCAGTACTTCTTTACATTTAATAGTTACAAATAAAATAAGACAATGGTATTGTTCTGAAAAATTCCTATCTCAATGTATTCACATATCATATCTATTCATTAATTAGGTATAGCTCGATGTGCTGCTCCGCCTCAAATGGCAAGTAAACTTCTCCTTACATCTCCGGTATCTTTGTTTCAATGTTACAGTACGTATGTTTTTCTTTTTCTTCTTTTCTTTCTAAAAATATTTCATTTATTAGATATAACTGAATCAAATAATTATCAACAAAAATGTAATCCTTGTTTAAATCGTATCAATCTTTGTTCTAATCATGGCACATGTCGTTTATTATCAATTGGAAAATATATCTGCGATTGTTTACCATCCTATCATGGTGAACATTGTGAAAAAATTAATAATCCTTGTTTTCATAGTCCATGTAAACATCAAGGAACATGTCGTGTACTTGCTAATGACCGTTTTCAATGTCATTGTTCATCAGGTTTTATAGGTTCTCAATGTGAGATAAATATAAATGATTGTATATCAAATCATTGTCAAAATAATGGAACATGTATTGATAAAATTAATGATTATTCATGTTCATGTTCACCATTATTTACTGGTAAATAAAATAATTTTCTAAAACTCAAATATATTTTTTCAAGAAAAACATATTGCAATATTAGCAAGTCAAGATTTTGCTACTACACTCTTTTTTTATAGCTTCATAAGATTTGAGAAAGGCATTGAGCAGCATTAACAACAAGGATGTGAATGTAATTGTTGATTTGAATAGTCTCTTCTTACCGTGACACTCGCACTCGCTTAAGATAAAATTTCATACGAAAATGATAAATAAGAAGCAAATAGAAACAAGCTAAAGAAAAACTAAATAAGATAGATCGTTTTCTTGATGATTAATTCTTCTTAGATGAAAACAATTAGTCTGTGAGAGATTTTTCACTTGACGTATTTTGTATTAGTATAATAAATCGAAAGGATATATGTGAGTTTCATATATTAGCTTCAAACGGGCAGTACCTAGAAGTTTTGTGTAGGAAAATTTTAATGAAATTTTGTTTATAGGAAAATATTGTGAAAGAAAATTAAATTGGTGTGATAAAAATTTAAATCCATGTAAAAATAATGGACATTGTTTAAGAATCGATAATGGATATAAGTAAGTATTTTTATCGTTTTTTTTTCTTTGTTTTATTCAAATGAATATTTGATTTCAAAATTTTAGATGTGAATGTCCATTAGGTTTCGAAGGAATAAATTGTACAAATAATATCAATGATTGTTCTAATCATACATGTCAATATGGTACATGTATTAATAATATGAATGGTTATACATGTCAATGTGATATTGGTTTTACTGGAAAATATTGTGAAACGAAATTTCAACGTAAATCATCAATATTTAAAAATAATCAAACTAAAACTTTATCAAAACGATGTACACCTGAAATTTGTTCAAATAATGGTATTTGTTATGAAGATTCATTAAAGATTATTCGATGTCGTTGTTCTTCGGGTTTTATTGGTGATTATTGTATGATATTAAAAACTATTCATTCAAATACAAATAATTCATATATTAAACTATCTAAGCCAAATATATATCCATATTTAAATATTACAATGATTTTTAGTACAGTGCAAAGCAATGGTATACTTGTTTATTTTGGATATGTAGGGCATATTGTTGCAGAATTATTTATGGGAAGAATACGTGTTAGTTATGATATTGGAAATTCACCTGGTTCAGTTATATTTAGTTATGATACAGTACATGATGGTAGTAAAGAAAAAAAAACACTTCTAATTTGAATTGAAAAAAAATTTATTTTTAGGAAAAATTCATGAATTACAATTGATTAGTATTGGTCAAAATTTAAGTTTAATCGTTGATAAAAATTATTCAAGATTTATTAATAATCATGGTAGTCGTATTTATATGAATACAAGTGCCATAAATGCATTATATATTAGTGGTTTACCAAATGAGTTATCTGGTAGAGCTCTTCAATTATGGCATATTCGTGAAGCAACATCATTTCAAGGTAGTATAGATTAAGAATATAGTCATCATATCGAGTGACATAGTGATGCTTATGTATAGCCGTAATCGCTTTTCAGACCTCTGTACATTAAAACACACATATAGAAGATATATGTGTATACCCTATTTTTCATTGTAGAAGTATTTTTTCAATGCTCGTGCAGATGCTTTGATAAACAACAAATCACTTTTGAGATATATGGTACAATCTTTCAAAGATCATCTTTGAGATCTACTTTTTCAGTTTAAAATTTGTAAAATGAGTTGATATTATCAGATTTTCTAGTATCTCTTATTCTCAAATACCAATATTGAAAATTCTATTTTACATTGAGAATTTGATTTGTATAAATTTTAAAATCGAAAAATCGATCTAAGCAAGAGCATAATATTCAATTGAAAGTTTTCCAAAATAATTATAACTCAAAAAAGAAAATTCCTGGGATTGAGTTTTTGTTGCAGACCTTCTACTACTGAATTAGATAAGACTTATCACTACAGAAATCGTTTAAGGTTGTATTCATGCACTTTATATAAATAATGAATCAATCAATTTTGCTGATGTTGATTATCGTCATAAAATCTTACCTGGTTGTGAAATAAATGAAGTAAATCAATCTTCATGCACTACAACAACCTGTCAACATGGTCAATGTCAACTTGATGGTTTAACTTACAAATGTGAATGTTTCAATGGATTTACTGGAGAAACATGTAACGAAGGTAATCTCTTGTTTTTTTTTGTACAATAGAAAACGAATATCTTGTGTTTATTTTAGTAATAACATCATCAATAGCATCACCATTGATGGATTCATGTGGTCTGAATATTCAAACAGGCTATTATATTGATCCACGAACTAAATGTAGGAGTGTTCGACGTTTACGTCTGACAAAATGTTTTGGTACATGTCCATCTATATTCAATAATGAAACATTATCATCATGTTGTAAACCGATCGAAGCTAAACGCCGATATTTTCGCATGACATGTGCGAGTGGTTTTACTTATAGACAATCGCTGGAATTTTTTAAAAAATGTACATGTTTGAATAGTGTATGTTAATTTTGAAAATTTATATGAATTGCAACTCATATTGATTGTATATACAGTATTGGACGAAAAAAATAAGACCAACGTTTTTTTCTTTGTTTGATTTTTTCGTTCTACAATATTAGACATTTAACTCAAATTGAAATAATGGTTTGAGTAACATTTCATGTTAAAATTTCATAGATGCATAACGAGAGAAAAGTTCCTGAAAAACGTAACACGAAGAATTTTCAAGACTAACCTTTCTTTGAAAAGTTATAAACATCACAAAACGAAATTTATCATAGCAGTTTTTTTTATGGTTATAGCTTTTGAGGAAAGATCGTAGGAAATGCAATGATCAGTCATTTTTCTTCTGGATTTTGTGCACTCTAAAAAAAGTATTCTTAAAAAATAACTTTCACAGTCTTCTGGAGCCTGAAGCTTCCTGTGTTTGGCTTCTTAGGAATCTTGTTCTCATTGTTTCTCTATGAAAAATTCAGTATGGAATGTATTTAATAGAGAACTTCATTGGCTATTTAAACCATTGTTTGAATTTTAGATAAATTCTTGATATTGTTAAACAAAAAATAAAAATGTGTCAGTCTTATATCTTTGATGAGTACTGTCAAATGATGTGGGTTTTTTTATTATTCATGTATTTTTCTTGTTTTGCTTTTAACTCGTTGTTAATCGTTCTTAATTTTGTTTGGAGTCTATTGTATTTCTATTTGGAATATTTTTGTAAATCAAGGGTATTCATTTTACATTTTGTCTTGATGAGAATAAATTATAAACTAAAAGAATGCTGATCACTATTGTTGTTTGTTCCTTAATGAGATTTTTCAAACAACAGAATTTAAACAACTAGAATTCGTCCAAAACATTCAATTTCAATATTACATATATTAATAACATTTTTTTCTTAATAGGAAAACCTGGTAATCACCTATGATTATTATACGATCTTCCAATTTATGTAGTACATTTTTTGTCTGAAAAATGCTTACTAAATTGGTTTTGTGAATAAAGTTGTATTTTATGTTAAATCATATCATCATAAAATGTGAATTCTACTTAAATTATAAAAAAAAAAGTGAGAGTAATTCAAATCAAATATGATCAAATGAAATTTTCTTTATTTAATATAGAATAGTTTAAATAAATGATATTGTATTAAAATAGAAGATTGCTTTGTTCCTCGTGTTTTCATCTTTGTTTAACATTAAAAGTCGAATAAATCAGCAAATTTACGTAAAACTCGACGACGAGTTTGCGACCATGAACATTGACCATTTTCAGGTCGATTGCATCGATTATTTGAACAACATTGGACATTAGAAATGCCAATCAGTACATTTTCCAATCTGTTACACATACTTTTAGCAATCATCGAGTATATCCATTTTTTAGCACCTGTTGATTGTTCCCATTGACTACAAGCTTGATCACCTTTTGTACATTTAGTAAGATATTTCACACAACTACAAGCTTCTCTTGAACCGCAATCTTTCATATCCGGTGTTAACGAGCATTTAGCATCGGTGCCCGTATAGCATTGAATCGACAAAACAGTTGTAAAAAATAAGCAAAAAACGGCAGTAAAGAGTAATCGATGGCACATCGTACAATTGAAGAATGTGAAATGTTAAAGAGAGTATAGGTTCTCAAAAATAAAGTCAATATAATGGTTCGTTTATATACTCTATACTCCTACATGTTAAAGTATGAAATGGATTAGTTGCTTTTTGTTTGTTACATAGTACTGTATGTTGTGTCAATATCATGAATAATTTGTTCTGCTCCGCTAAATCCTAAAAAAAATTTATTGATTGTTTCTCTTCGTATTGACATATGGTTAAGGGTTGTTTCAAGGTTTCAAAACGAATAGAAAACATCAATAAGTATGTGTCGTATCGAGGTAGCAACTTCAACGAAGAACAACTTGTCAAAGTTATTTTAATGCAACTACGTACCAAATCATAATGTATAAAATTATAGTTAATTTTTCATTTTCAAAAAAAAAACATTTTCATAATTTTTTACGAATAAACATAGCAGAAATTATTTAGAGAAATCAAGTATTAAACTTGTTACTACTTCATATGATTATAGAACTATTCTAAAGACACTAAGGCCTATAACTAATGGAAAATATCTTTACAGTACTATGCCCTAATTTAAGCAACACTTGAACTTTATAATAACGAGTGGGACAATAGTTATGCATTAATTTTCTTTTTGATATAAAGCTGTGATAAGATGTCATAAAGACTTTATTTTTTTATCAGAAAGATCAAAGAACGAGATGTTTTTTTCTAAACCGTACATATATACAAATGTTTATTACAACAAAGACTTTCGTATGGTGTCAAAATTATTGATCTAACCTGTAAGAGAATAAACAACAAACAACTCAATTAAAAAAAAATCATTTTGGAATTTACATCGTGAAAATAAATGTTTGGTTCAATATCTTACAGAAAGTCTATGTCCTGTTTCAAATCATATTATTTAGTAGAAGACTGAACGAGCTTTCTTTTTCATACAAAATATATTTAGTTTCTGGCAAAGTCTCTCTGAGAATAGATTTTATTTTGTTGACAGTAATAGAAAACGTTGATATCAAGCCACATTATAAAAGAGTTCATTTCAACCGTTAGAAAACATATGAAGAATTTTTTTTGTTTTTTCTTGTACAGCAATTGTGTTCTGTCCTTACATTGTAAAACTCGGATTAGACGAATAAAAATAGAATAGATCTGATTAGATGAAATCTTTTCTAATTCGAAAAACGTTGCAAAGGAGATTTTTATGCTTGTTATTCTAAAATTTTTATGGTCTTTGGCAAACATTTTCAATGAATTTTTTTTTATTAATTTTTGCACTAGATGCTATATTTGAATATCATGATTTAGCATTATCTATTTGATCATTCGAATATAAAGTCTATCAGTAAAACTAATCTCAAACAGGAACATAATGAACAAATATCATAAGAAAAGTAATAAAAAAAGCAGTAGGAACAACTGTTAACTCTCGAACCGGATCGATGAAATGTTATGAAAATGTTTTTCAGGTTTTTTTTTAATATTGAAACATTCAGATTTATCCTTTATATAACATTACATATTTGGTCTGCACTAGAAGAAAATCACAGTTTGGAATTACTCTTGAATTCATTATTCTTTTTTTTTATCTTTTCGTTGTTTTAATAATTCGTTCATATAATGACCTATTGGAGAGTCCTATTTTAACAAATTAATGAAGCTTCCATGTAGACACAAGAAAACTTTTCTTTCGACTACAATAATGCCTGTTGTTCCATAAAATTCATGGTCTGATTGGTCCCGTTTCGATCATGAAGAGAAACTTGAAAAAAAGAAAATTAAATGTAACGGCATACAGTCTTATCTAATGTATTAGGTGTGAATGTGATTTTGGGTGTTAGTCTCCTTTTAACTCATGTCCCAACCCATTTCTACACATTCATTCAGCAAACCCACACCTCAAACTGATATTCTACAGAATCTAAGATTTTATTCGAAAAGTGATTATTATATATGGTTTCCATTCATTTCAATACATGAAACCTATTCGAACTGGAATGTGCGTATGGATGCGAATCTCTTCTTCATCAACATCCACACCCTCACAATTCTCATTGTTAAAAGAAAATGTTTATTTAAATTCTGTGTCGTTTTCTTTCATTTTTTCAGTGGTCGTTGAGAGGAATGAAAAACAAACGGGTTCGGCTAACCACATTAACAACGAATGCAGTTGAATTCATCAATATTTACTCACCTTATTTAACAGTACACAATTTTCAGGTGCGCTCTACGCCGTCAAGAACATTAGTACTTTTATGAAAAAATTCAAATCGGATAGCGACTAGTGCGAAACATGTCAACGTTGTTATTGTGGGTGGTAGAGTTGCCGGCTTAGCTGCAGCTAAAACTCTGAGCGAGTCTGGTCTTCCCCTAAGCAAATTTCTTCTTGAAGCATAATCTTATTTGGGTGGTCGTGTTCATACAATCAATGCATGTCAATTAGTTCAACATATTTTCATTTTCATTTCAAATCACTGTTTTGTTTTATCTTCAAATCTAGGGAGCTCAATATCTTCATGGCGAAGGTAATAATCAAGTATTCGATATATGTAATCAACTGGGTTGTCTTGCCGATGATCAAAATAAATCAGGTAAGAGAATTGGATTTTTGTTTTTTTAATACTGCTCAATTGAATTCGTAATTAATTAGATAAAGATCCGTTTGTTTATTACAATTGATGGAACAATTCTTTCATCAAAATTAGCCGAAAGTATATCTGATATATGCAATCAAATAGTAGATAACACTGATCAAGAAAATTATTCTTCATCACTGGACTATTTCAAAAGTAAACAAGTCTATGAATGAGTTAATGAAATAGTCCAGGATGCGAACTTATGTCAAGCTGTAATCGATTGGTTAATCAAAGGTGAAATGGATAATAATGGTGCATGATCAGTGAGTGATGTTAGTCTTGGTTCCTATCATGAATTTGAAGATAGTGAAGGTAATGACGAATGACAATTAGGTCAGCAAGGATTTCTTCCATTTATTGCATATCTTCGTTCATCAATATCTGAACATGAAATTCAATTAAATTGTAAAGTAACAAAAGTAATGTATGATAGTCTACATGAGAAGATGATAGTCGAATTTACAAATTTGACTAATCGACAAAAGTCAATGATCCAGTGTAATCATATTTTTTGGACAACATCATTAGGTTATTTGAAAGAAAATTTTCATCGAATTTTCTCTAGTGAATTGCAATTAATCGAACAAAAAAACAACAAGCTATCGAAAATATTCGATTTGAACTATTGAATAAGGTAATCTATTAAGATAAGAATTGATCAAATATAATCTCGTTTCGATAGGTTGTTTTAATCTATCGTGAAAAATTTTGGGCTGACGATATCTATGAAATGAATATTCTTCGTGCAAATAGAAACAAATCATTTTTATCACCAACTTTGAGCGAATTTCTTAAGAAGGAAAAAGTTGATATGAATATTGCAAAAGCAATCATGGAAAATATTAATAATTATACAGTAATTCTTAATACATCAACACCTACTTGAGCATGTCCAATAAGTGGAACAGCAGCTCGTTTAGTAGAAAAACTTAATGAAAATCTATATAAAAAAATATCTAATTGTGTTTTTGAAGGAGTGAATGGTATAAGAATCGCTTCATTTGTGAAGCATACAGCTATCATTCAGTACGATCTTCACGAGAAGATCATGAATTATTGCAAAAACCTTATATACCGGGCAAAGTGAGTAAAAAAGAAAGAAAAAAGAAACTCACTTGTTAAATTTCAATAAATGATTTTGATTTGTTTTATAGTTATCACGTATATTGTTTGCCGGCGAAGCAATTCATCCACGATTCTTTTCCACTATTCATGGTGCTTTTGAAAGTGGAATACACGAAGCACAACAAATTTTATCCATTTTTGAAGACAATCAATAAATAAATCATAATGAACAAAAATTATTCGATGAACTTATCATAGTTTTCTTTCGCATAATTAGTACAGCTTTTTTTAGTTTGTAGATGTCAATTCATACATAATAAACTATCATAAGATGAAAGATGGAATTGAATTATAAAATCTTAAGATAATTTATTAATAAAATTGATTCTTAATCTTCCTTATTAGACTTGCTTGTATTTATGTGTGTATTTGTTTACGTTATATATCAAACAACATATTAGTTTCTTAAAATTTGGTGATTGATTAAGTGAAAATAAACACGTCTTAACTGATCGTCTCTAACAACTTTAGTTCTGTTAAAGTATCATGATCATCTCTTCTATCGTCATCATCATAATCATTCATTATTGCTATACCATTATGCTTTTGTATAAAAGCTTTAACTTGATCTAGAAGTGTTTTAAGTTTTGATTTTAAGCTGATAAATTCATCGAACATGTGATCTTCATCTAAAACTTTTATTTTTATCATTTCGACACCTTGAACAACTTTTTACCATATTAAAGCTTGGGTATTCTATGGATCGAAAAAACTAATTGCTCGAAGAAATGCAACATCTAGATTGAAATAAATAATGTGATAGATTTTTGGGCTGTGGGTGTGAGTGAATGTGATTAAGTGTGGGTATGAGAATAGAGTTGTGAAGATGTGGATATAGGCCTCACTCTTTTCTTCATTCACAATGACACTCCACATCCTCATTTATCTTGCTGTGGCATTAATAGTGAGGGATGGTGTGGGCACGCTTGTGAATGAGTGTGGGTTTGAGTGTGAATTTCTACTCAACTATATCAATACTCGTATCCACACCATAGTCACATTCTCCTGAATTGAGATGAATTATTTACTTATCTGTATTTTTCAAAAATAAATAATTCCATTATCTTTATTTTATATTATCAAGGAAGACTAAAGAGTAAGTATCACCTCTATTGAATACTCAATTTTCTTCACATCGTTTTATATTTCACTTAGTTGAACATCTACGCGAACAACATAATTATTGACAACACTAATCAAAAGAGTTACAGATGATATCTACAAAGGAATTCATATTATGTCATGTTTTCTTGTCAATGAAAATGAACAAATTGAATTATCGAATTCTAAGTTACCTATTAAATGTAGCGATACAGTTAAAACAAACTTCATTAAGCAATACACCTTAGATTTTATGTTTTTTTTTACATTTTCTTGCTTTTATTATTCTATCAACAATGTGCTAGAGAATAAAAACGACAATATGCGACTTACTCGCCTGTCTCAAACGAATTAAGATGGAATAGAGTGATCCATTTTATATTGATATCGTTACGATAACAACTAGAAACATCGCGAGTCAAGAAAAAAAAGCCACAGTGATGTAAAATGATTAATACTCTATTTATATATGGCTTCATACAATAAAGAGTTATTGATAATGTAAATATTCGAAAAAAAAAGTTATGAATTTTATGTCACCAAAAATAAAACAGTATACAGTAATAAAACGCAAGCGAGAAGTTAGCAAGTGTAAAATATTGACCTATAAAATACGATCATCGTTTTTTTTTTGCGTATGAATACTCAACATCTAAACTCTTCGACATTATTCTTTTTTTCTTTCAAGTTGATTCTTGGTGTTACTGTTCTATCGATTCGTATGCATTCAAATAGAACTAGTCATGACTAAAAACTACCATTCAGTAATAATACATTTCTTTTACATAGAAATTCTCCATCACTTATGAATGATAATGATCATCAATATAATGACTTACCATCACATCATGACAATAAAGCACAAAAACCATTGTACCATTTCTATCGCATGATTTTCCTTCTCATCTACTACATGAACGTGACGATAATGGTAGTGAGAATTCGTCAGTTCGAAAATTGTCAAATCCGATCAAACCGTACTTTGATACTCTCAATGAAATCTTCAGATCGAAATGGGATAATGTGAATTGACATTTTCAACATTACGTCTATTAATTATTTTGTTTTTTTCTTTATTAGACGACCTAGCGATTATTCATAATTATAGACTTTTCAAATTCATGAGCATTTTTTATCTAAACAATACTCACTAAATTGTTTGTTTTTATGATTGTTTTTATAATTTTTTAAATAATATTTTATCTTTTATTCAGTTTCATCATCATAAAATATGAATTCGACGAATTCCATAGCTCAACTCAAACGCATATCTGAAATAGTTTATTAATAGAATGATCTTTTATTCGTTCTGTTGGTTGTGATGTATAATAGCGATTTAAATTATATATAATCATATTTTTATTCAATAGAAAATATATTAAGTAAATGAAAGTGTATTATAATGAGATTTTATTTTTGTTTCTTGTCTATTCAGAAATATTCACCGTTAAAAATCGAGTAAATCAGTAAATTTTCGTAGAGCTCGACGACGACTTTGAGACCATGAACATTTGCCATTATCAGGTTGATTGCATCGATTAGTTGAGCAACATTTCACATGAGAAGCACCACTCATTGGATTTTGTAATGCTGAGCATACGCTTTTAGACGTCACGATATATGCCCATTTTGTAATTTCTGCTGATTGTTCCTGTTTACTACAAGCTTGATCATCTTTTGTACATTTAAAACGATATTTCGCACATATACAGATTTCTCCTGGACCACAATCTTTCATATCACCTGCTAATATACATTTGTTATCTGTACCCGCATAGCATCGAATCGATAAAGTAGTCCCAAAAAATATGCAAAAAACAATAGTAAGGAGTAATCGACGGCACATAGTAGAGTTGAAGAAAGAAAAATGTTTAAATGAGCGTAGCTTCACAAAAAATACAGAGGTCATATAATAGCTCTCTTACATATTTTATACTCCTACGCCTTAAGATATGAAAAGAAGTAGTTGTCGTTTTAGTATATGCTACTGCATGTTATGTCAACATAATGAATAACTTATTCTGCTCCTCTGAGTCCTAAAAAACTATAAATGGTTGTTTTTTTTTTTCGTGTTGACATAGGGTTGAGGATTATGCCAACGTTTCGAAATGAATAGAGAACATTACTATGTATTTTATAACTAAGACATAGTCATTATTTGAATGAAAGTATTTATTGAGTGATCATGAATAGTTTTATCGTTTCTTTTTTCTATAAAGCTGATATCATCAACATGAAAAAATATAGATATTTAGATAGTCAGAATATTGTATTTGATTTCTCACATAGTAAATTATAGCTGTGGGTTATAAGAAGCATATCTCTAGTCATTCATCGATACATCGACTATTTCAGTCAATAGGCGATCGATCTAGTAAAAATTTTTGTCCAAAGATAGTTTAGCTTGTTATTCTGGTGAAAGTAATTTATCATCATTAATATTTTTTTATTGTGTAAATTTAACTGAACTTTGTTTGCGAACGAGGAGGGATAAGATAGAGACATTTTATTAAATAAAAGCAATGTTTTTTCAACGTGAATAAACGAATAAGTTGGTATTAACAATAAACTGACAAAATGTCTACAAGTTGATACAAGACTTAAATTGTATTGATGCTAGAATTAACGAAAGGATCAAATAAGATGTATCCGAACATGTAATCCAACAGTACTCAACAGCTAAGAAGCATTCTGATAGCAAGTAACGATCTGACGACTAATTGACATCAGCTTAGACAGTCTCAATAGAAGAATGACGCTAGTTCATTTGACATTTAATTGAAACTAATCGAAGAAAATTGATTTGATTAGTCTGACATCTTTTCAAAGACGATGTAGTTTAGTATGTTTGAACTTAAAAGTGAAGAGAGCAGCGTCTGTCATTGAGATGGAAGCGTTTCTAATATCTGAGTAGCATTGAGTGCAACATATAACTCTTCGTAAGAATATTAGATGTCTACGAACCAAGATAATGCATTAAAATGTCACCTCTATTTTAGATGAAACTCAATAACGAATACTATTTTCAGTTTGTTATTTGATGCAGTTATGCTTGTTAAGAAACTACTAGATAAACTCTCAATTTCACTAAATAAAAAATTCTGTTTTGTAATATTAGATAATGATCGATATTTTCTGAATGTCTCATGTTGAGCTAAAATAAAATCAATGAAATATTCACTGATAGTAAATCTTAATGGTCTCTATGTACAATAATTGGCTATGTTATAGAATAATTAAAAATAGAAGTATTAACTAATCTTTGATATACTACTTTTTCTTTTACTCGAATCTGAAAATAAGAAAAATGAAAACAAAAAAAAACGACGTTGGTTCAAACCTACAATAAGCAAACAATATATTGAAATCAGTTAAATAAACAAGTATAACAAAAACTGATGAATATAACTAATTTTTTCTTTTACGCTTCTTTTTGTGAAGATTTAACTTTTTTTCTCGATGGAACAAGATATTGTTCAATAAAAAACTTAAAGAAAAATAAACAATAAACAGGTACAAGTGCATAAGGAAGAGTAAATTCTAAGAAATTTTCACTAGGAAAATGTTTATATTTCTGACATAAGTGTGGTACAACATGCCAAATATAAGTAACTGTTAAAAGTTGTAGAATTTGTAATGTTGTAATCATTGGACGTAAAAATTTTGGTAAACGAAAAGCAAAATGATAATACATAAGTGTATGAACAAAACCATTTAATAACATGCCACTTTTTTCTCCACCAGGAAAATTCGTAACACATAAAAATAATAAAAATGTTGTTGCATGATGATAAATATGAAGAAATCCAATTTTTTTTAATGATTGTCCTTTTGATATAAGAACAGCTGTATCAAACCATTCCCATATTTTTGAAATAGTAAAAGTAATTGATATAATACGAAGCCATGAAGGTATTGGATTACATAAATAATTTGACCAATTCATTATTTCTTTTGATTCTATTATGTAATATAAAACACTAATACATGAAAATAAAGAATATAAGAATAAAAGTATATAATGAATTTTCGACAATAAATTTTTAACTTTTAATGATAATTTTGATGCTAATAACGGAAAAATCATAGCTATTAAAAATATATATAATAAACATGATCCAAATGTAATAATGTAAGTCCATGGTGAATATATATTTATTATCATATTAGTGTATGGAATATCAATTTGTGTATGTTCAAAACGAAATGAATACAATGGTGTATCGGACATGATTTAAGAATATTAAAAATATATGATAAATGTGATGTGCACTAGAGTCAAAGCAGTAAATAAGAAAGAAACAGAGAAAAAAAAATCAATTATAGTTATGATAAAGAAAGAGAAAGAAAGAAAGAACGAAAGAGAATGAAAATACATAAACAAAGATAAAACTCCTTGCGCTCACTTAACATGCTGCAATTTACCTTATATATATCTATTCTCTTTATACACACATATTTTTTTTCTATTCAAGATAAGATAAAGTACACTTACTCCACGCCTTCGAAAAGAAGCATATAGTGAAGTTAGCATAATTTAAAAGTGTTTCAATCTACTTGTAGTCATAATATAAAGCCAAGCGACGTTCGACAGTTGCCTATGCTTCCTCATTAGTTGAATACATCTTTATCATTCTATACGAGAAATTTTGAGTTAATTGATGCTATTCGCAAGGAAACATATCCAACACTCACAGCATCGTTCGACTCTCGGAGTTTGACTATAACTAAGACTCAGCGAAACTAAAAAACAATAAAAGTGCGTTATTCAACTACTCAGGCAGACAAGAATTTCTAAAAATGCGTTTAAAGGTCATGATCTTGGCTCCTGCTTGAACGATTTCTTGTCCATTCAGAAAAACTAAAATGAGCTACTTTAATAGTAAATAATGTGTGAAGACGCTTAAAAGGTGATTTTTGTTAATGGAAATGATTTTTTTTTCGTGCGGTGAATTGTATCATAAAAGTAGCTAATTTTAATGTTTTCCGAATGGATGTGAAAATGCTCAACGAGAAAAACCTGATTACAATTTTTAAATGCATTTTCACAAACTATTGTCTACTTGAGTAGAGTTATAACTGCTTTAATGGGTTATTGGTCCCTGGGTTAGCTATTCGTGGAACACTTTTCAGCGACATTTTCATCTGAAATTTTGCTCAGAGGCAGTTTCATGACCATTAGATAACCACATCAAGCATGACTAACATTAAAAACCCTGCTTCTGGATTTTTGCACCTAAATATATGTGTAGAACTACAGGAGGATTTTATTTTTATGCATAAGTATATAAATTACAGTATGAACTTTTCGTAATACGCGTGTACATGTTTACAGAGTAGTAACCATGAACTTGTACTTCGATCTCTACTTTTTCGTCATTGCTTGTGTATCTACCAATGGCTGTAAATGCCTGAAATGACACTCATATATATACTGATGAGTGCGCATACGAATAGTTAATCGATGGACGTCTATGTAAGACAATAGTGCATGTGCCATCCGCCAGTGTCAGATTAGTCATAGGTTAAGTTTGGAATAATAAAAGAAAATGCTGCAAAGATTAACTTGAACCTCATTGTGAACTTTTGTTATTCATAGTGAAGCATCAGATCTGTAACATGTTCAGCTCTACATGGATGTTATACTTGTGTCATTGGGGCTCAATCTTGCCATCATACCTAAAGGTTTTCTAAATATGCATAAATGTGATACAGATAGGTTTTTGAGCTGCAGCAGCATATGATGGCTGCATACTTTTGCATTCTTCTTGAGTATCATATTTATGACTTTGGAAACCCTACCTGGATATCACACTTGCAGATAGCCAAATTTTACATAAATTCGATACCTTCCGACTTCCTATGTCTCTCGTGATGTGAGTACTGGCAGTGTCCGATATCTACATGAGCATTATATAAGCAAATTTTCAATCCTTGATTGAAATAGAAGAAATGTAAAATATAATATTAAATACTATCTACGTCTCCATTCTAGAATTTCTACAGCTCTTCTGCACACTTTAAATTCCAGTACTAGAGATCTAACGTTGGTTTTCTTTCTATGTAAGATGAAGAAGTATTTCAAAATGATTTTATGAACTTTGAAACTTCAACTTAACTTTATTTTGCACCGTAAATTACTTTGCTTGTGATGATTTTCTTACTCAGTCGAATAGATATTTGTGGTGTTTTATCTTACACAGAATCAAAGAAAGCAACAGAAGACGAGATCATCAGTCACATGTTTAAAAGAAGTATAGTTCTCTTTCATTTCTTCATAACTTTCAATCTACCTACATCTAATTCAATCACACAGAGTCAACAGTAATTGTATGTTGACATTCACGTTTTAGACTTATTGAAATGTTACGAACATATGAAAACTATTGTTAGGAAAATATGAGATCACTACTAGGCTGAACTTATTCGAATATCGATAGTGTTAAATTCTTGCATAAGTTGTAAAAAAATAGGAGTAATGTCGATTAACAGTCAGTTTTCAAATGAGTGACTTGTCAATAAAAACACCTTTGACATGTCTGGAATTTTTCAATCCGTTTCACTCGATTAAATCAGAGAAATCGATTATTCTGATTGTAGAGTTGAATAATGATATTAATTAATTTTAGACAACATTTGACCGAATTAAAATAATTAGTTATAACAATGGGGAATTCATCAATCCAGTTAAATGTATTAGACTTTTAATCGATTAAGAAGAATACAGTTGATTGTAAATCCACCAATTCGATTAAAACTGATTTTAATCGGATTATCCAATAAAAAACTGGATTATGCTACTCATAATCAAAAATAATCGTGATTTTTCATCAAGGTTTTTTCACTGTAATAGCTTTGCTAAATTATCATTGATTATTAATTACTAGCTGCTTTTGTCTTTTTCAATCCAATCTATGCATAGAAAATAGTATTAAAAAAGAAAGAAAAGACCATTATTAGCATGATATTTCTTTTGCTCTTATTATTATCAATAAAATATTTTGAGTATTTTTACTAATAATATATATATTTAACATGATCAGAGCGATAAAAAGTTAATTTTAAATTGACGTCTTCTCTTCGATTAATTTGAAAAAAAACTTCATATTTTTTTTTTCTTCATCTATATTACCTTTAAAAATGATATATTTAGAAGTTTTTTTCTTGAATAGATATGATTTCCTAATTCTTCATCGATCAAATTTCAAAGATAATGTTAAAAGTTCAAAAGAGTATCATAAATTAAAAAGTATAGTACCGAACAAATAGTATCATTTCAGCAGTAGGCAAATTATCAATGACAGAAAATATTAGGTAAAAAGACAAAAAGTAACATTGGTTCAATCGTCCCACAACACGAAGACAATTTTGCCTTGAATTAATTCAGGAATAAGAGCATTCATTGTTGAATCAGTTTCTATAGAATATTTCTTGTATATTGTCGTTTATCTTCAATTGTGTTCATGATCACTTGTTAATTTTCAATACGAAATACTTTTACGGTATTTAACTGATGAAAATTTCATTTTTATTTTTTTTAACTAATAGAAAACAAAATATTTAAAATGATATAGAATATTCTTGATGATAATTTCGCACTTTGAATAACAGAAAGAACTTGAAATGATGTGGGAAATTCTAATTGATTAATTAGCAAATATCCATGTGAAAAGAATATTCAATGATCTACTTTGATTAAATCTAAAAAAATGTATGATTCATCATTGTTTTAATCCTTTGTTTGACAAACGATACTTCCTTAGAACATTCAAGAAGTATGGAAAATGTTTTTTTTTTTCATTTGAATAACATCTTTTTGATGACAGCACTGAAAATATGTATTATTGTTCCATAATATTTAAATACATTTATTTCAAATAAATAATTTTCAAAATTTAATTAATGGCTAATAGCATCGGCTCAAATTTCTTTACTTTATTGTTTTTTTATCGCGTGGGACAGTGAAGCAGATTTCATTTTCATTTTCAGCTTTGTTATTGTTAATAGAAATTGACTTAAGCATAAAAAAAGAAAATAAAATAATCATTCTCTTTTTCATTAATGATAAATGACATTGGACTTCATGTTTTTTTTACAATTTAATCATTATATTTACTCGATGTTTAATCATAATATGAAAAATCTAATTATTGAAATCTATCAAAAGCATCTAGCTTTTATGTTTTTATTAGATGATTAAAGTTAGTCGATTATTAATATGACATAGTAAGATTAAAATTTATTAGTTCTGAAGAATTGAAGGCATTAAAAATGTTGTCATTTCATAAAGCATATTTGGAAACCAATGAATACCAATTGTTTTATCCGATACTTTTGTTTCACCAAATAAACCATACCACCAACGCATAGGTGCTAATACAACATGAGCTAAATGATGGTTATTGATTGTTGCATAACAAGATGCTGCAACATTATTAACAATCAATGTGCCTTGTTGTGTCAATGGAGCTATATATCCTTGTTTAACAACATCGATCACATTTGATATCGTTTCAGTAACTAATAAACCGTCATCATTCATAACATAAATATTCATACCGACGCGAATATTCTTTGCCATAACATAACCATGAATATCAGTTGGAAGAAGATGAGATAAAGTCAATAATAATTGTCGACCAGAAACTGTTGTTAATTGTTTGAATACAGCTGAAAGATGAAATATAATAATAACAATAATAATAATAATAATAATGAAAAAACAGAAATTAGAAATTCTACCGTATTGTTTTGGTTGATAATCAAGCATTGTAAGTACATTTGTAGGAATAAGGTTATTTGTTTTATCATCATAAGCAAGAATTGTATCACCTGTTTGTAACTCAATGATTTGTTTTTGTTTTCCATTCACTAACGTAACGAGAGAATCGGCAGCAAAACAAGAATTCATGGCAAAATGACTACCACCTAAACAAATGAATAATCAGCTGACAAAATATCAATGAATAATACGAATAAAACAGACTTAGTATTGGACAGGATGTACTGTTTGCGACCGGACAGCAGTTTTCAGCAAGTCGCTTAGCTTCATTAAGAGCTGCTATACCAATCTAAATAGAAAGTTTATGAATAAAACTGTCGATAAGATTAACATTTCTTTACCTCTGCTTCAACGCAGTCGCTTATTTCTGTACTTAAACAGTCTGAGACATCAGCGGCAACTTGACATATTATTTTCAGATCTAGAATGAAAATATCTAGAGTAATTTTATTCAGTATTTTATCAACCTTTTGCAAGAGCTCCATAAAGTACTAATGTGATGTGTTGAACACATTTAACAACTTCTTTTGGATCTCCAGCTATTGAACATTGTGCATCTGTAATTGTTACTAACATACCAATAATAAGGATGAATTTTAAGAATATCTAAATATATTAATTAAATTATTTGTAGGATTAATTATTTGCTCTTACCATTTTCAATGTTTCCTTGAATCAAATATTTGATAAAATCGTATGCGATCTAATTGAATATCACTCAAGAAATGATTCTTTTTTTAATGATTTTTAAGTAATCTGTCATCACTTAGAAAATCGACTCAAATTACAAATCCCTAATTTTTGCCGTCAGTATATCATATTTTTCGTTTCACATTAAGTCATGACAAAAACGAACTAAATTTCAATACTTAAATACAAAGACAAAGATAAGTTACTTACACTAAAACAAATTTGCATTTTACTTTGTTTATAGTTTCAAGAATAACTTTCATTTCAGGCCTCTTCCGAAAAGAAAAATCGATTTTTCGAAAAACAAGCTACGTTTTGAGTTAATCATATAAGCAGGATCCCTAAGATGTCTAATTTGAAGAATGATAAGAATAACTCTCAATTGTAGAAAGCTTCCTTAAAAAACATGATTTGTTCTAGAGTTCCCAAGCGACAAGGTCAAAACGATATCCGTAAGAAAACTATAAACATTACTGCTGTTGCGGTCCTTTATCATAGCCGAATATGTAGCTATAGAGCCACGAGGTTTCGATAAGCTTGAGTTCACCTTCTATTGGAGAGATAAAGACTCGGATGGGTTATAATTATTGTAAACATTGTCTTCTGACAATGAATATGTTGTTGCAAGGTTAGTTCACGTTTTATCGATCATCAGTTCGTGTTCAAGACGCATAGGCGGTAGAACCACAAATCTTAGTCAAGCAAATGCCGTACCTTAGATTCAGACTTCGTAGGATGGGGTAGGTTCAAGCATTTTTTTTTCCATAAGATTAATAGATTTGAACAGCGCATCATATTTTTTGTACAAACATCAATACGTTTTGCAGTTATCTTCTCAATGAAGCAGGCTTAGCAAACATTTTCGAGAAAACATTAAGTTTCGTACAGGTACGTGTTGGATCACACATTGTCATTGAATTGAAGTAGGGAATCTTTGTAACGAGTGAAGAATAACTGTACGAAAAATCTGAGTTCATTTAACTAGAATCTGCTAGTTAAGTCTACTGTACCGTAAAAATCTTGTTAATAGTATATTTTTATGAGTCGAACATTTTCAGAAAGTTTCATGGAAATACGCAACAATATATTGAGAATCGACTTGAGAGAGAAGAGCAGAAGCTTTAATTAAACCATTTCTTTTCAATGATTTATTTAAAAAAACACACAGCCGGCTTATCGTCGATCAGAAATATATTAAAAAATTATATTTAAATAGACAAAAAAATTATTTATTATTTTTGAATTTTTAGAATTTATCTCACTCACTGATGAAACAAATCAACTAATGAATTAATGAAGTGCTTCAACAAATTTAAATACATAAGTTATTCGTACAGATACGAAAAGTCACATTATATTTTCATTTTCTTAAAATCATGCCACTTTCAACGATTAATCGCAATATTTTCAGAACGATGATATGATAAGTGTTATTACATTTTTTTTTGTTGAGAAGGATAACAACTTACAACTCCGTTGATAACAATGATTGACAAGAAAACTATTTTTCTATTTACGGTGGAGGGAAAAACTATTCATCCTCTTCTATAAGATTCCTTAGAAAATTTCTTAAATTCTTTAAGAAAATTGGAGTAGAGTTACTCATTCATCAGCTTCGAAAACATTAGAGATTAATCGCGACTTTTTATGATGTTTTAGATGATTAGTTCACCTTCTGATACACGCGATATAACCATCATATTTCATTATATTGTAAACAGGTGTACAGTCGAAAGTTTTTCAAAAAACTCAATTTAGACATTGTTAGCGTCGTGACTGAGTACCAATGTAGAAATAAAAAATATTGTTGTAACTGAATAAGAAGTCTAAACACGAATTCTCAATGAAAGTCTCATTCCGATACATGATCAGATCTCTAAAAACCTGGTTTTGGTGAAAAACTTTTTTCTTGTAGGATGAAATATATTCCAGAATTCTTAAAATTTTTTATCATAAAGATATAGAACTCCGTACAAAAAAAATTTGAAGATGGTCATATCTAGAGATGTACAGAATGAAAATTTGACGTTGTGTTGGGGCTCAAACTAAAAATGATAGTTAAATATTCTATAGTTTTAAGCGAATTTTGTTATAAATTCGTCCAATCAGAATACAATTCAAGAGAGATGACCTTAAAAAATATTAGTCGTCGACTAAATTAAAAAACGTGCATTGAAGATTTATTTTTTTAGATATGATACGAATCAATTCCGAAACATTCTACTCTATACTGGAATCTGATTAGATTTATAAAGACGATGACATGAAGTACTAGAAAAGAAGTTACTGTAACAAAAATAACTTGATTCCGCACACCTTTAGTCATGTTTTACTTTGACTGGTTTTGCCCATATATGTCTATCATGCATATATCTCATTACTCTGTAATAGTTAGATATTTACTATGACATTTGAAAAAAATCACTTTTGACCAAAACATTTAGTTTTCATTTAAACTGATTATGCTTTCTACTTATTGGATTATTCTTCATTGCTATATATACATGAATAAAAAACTATTAAATCTTTTATTTTTGTTTTCTTCGATTTCATAAATTTATTTTTCTTCTCAAAAAATATATTTTTTTATTTTACAAAAAAAAAATAATAATTAATGAAAATAACGATAAATGCATCGTCCGATCACAGTATAAACTTGTGGACGGAAGAAATGATTCCACTATTACGCATAAATCTGAAATAAAAAGATTATAGTTTTTTTTTTTTTTATTTATTTATCTATTATAATTTCATTACTTTTTCAAAATTTTTATCATACAATGAAAGTGACTGTTGAGATGATCGATAATGTAAATAAAGTATACAAATACTAAGTAATGCAGAAAGTAAAAAAATACAATCAAACCAACGATGATAAAAATTAAATTGTAAATCGCCAAGATCTTGCGAAATAATATGTCTAAATAAATAAATTTAAAAAAAAAACAAAAATCTATTTTCTCAAATAAATTACCGATATTGTGCTGGCATATTCATTCGAATAAGAAGCACTGATGATATAAAATACATGCCCTATAAAAATCTCAATTTTTCATTTCTCAAAATTTTATTATATTTTGTATTTTACCATTAATTGTGCAAGACATAAAAAAATAACATTTGCAGATCGACGACTTGATATAAAATAAAAAAACTAACAAAAACAAAAATTATTTTATTATAAACATTATTTAATCAAACTTTAGTTAATGTAATTAATAAACCACGAATACTTGTTACAACAATAATACCAATTAATATAAATGATACATATTGAGAACAAAATTTAACATCAAATTCAAAATTAAAATAATGTATTGTTAAATCAATACCTATTGTTACTGGATCAACTAAAATAATTTTTTTTTTTTTTGAAATTTTCTTACATAGAAAAATTTCAAGTTTACCTTTTCCAACACGATTAAAAATAATATTTATAAATGAAATAAATATTTTCCATATACAATATAATGAAAAAAAATGTCCTAAGACATGAAAATATTTTCCTTTAAATGTTTTTGAATATTCAATACGTTGTTGTATAGTTTGTAAATCAACAAAATCACTATATAATTGTGAATAAATTTCTTCATATGTTGATATATCTTGTTTAATTAAAGATATATTATTATATGATGATGTTGTTTGATTTGTTAATTGTGATGTTAAACAAGAATTCCATGTACGGCGAAGAAAATTCCATGGCTTATTAGAATTTAATGATGCTGCTATTGCTCTAAGAGAAATTTCATGTTCAATAGCAGCAATACGTTTTTTTTTTAATGCAACGATTTCCATTACTTGTTTTAAACGTTTTTGTGCATCACTTATTTCTTTTTCGGTAACAGCCTAAAAAGAAATAAAAAGTATGAGTATAGATTTTCAAAATTATATGAATGTTGACACAAACACTTGGGAGAGCGTATTCTAAGCATTTATCAGATGAATAGAGCCCGTTGAGTGTGAGATCGATATGATGAATTCTACCAGGATGGAGTCTATGCGGATTCCCGCTAGTTCTACTATAGTGTTACAACCTTTGACGCAAAAGTCTTAGCACAAAATACTTCTTCATTTTTCGACTACTTAAAAAGAATTAATTAGAGTTAGGCTTTTTCGCTCTCTATGGAATAAGATTAAATAGCTATCATTAGACTGTTTCAGAAGGTCCAAAATAGCAGTTATACAGAACAGTTCAAAGTATATGTGAATATTGAATTGAGAAAGCGATACGCTTAGTTATGTGACTTTTAGCTTTGATGCGCTCAATATCTTCGAGAAGGAAGCATTTCAGAATTTGGAGTCAATGATAACTTTTGCTCTGTTCATGCAGATCTATTTATCCGGAAAATGTTAACTTTTTTTAGTAAGGCATTCATCACAAAGGTTGAAAATGATGGCGGTATTTATAATGCATCCAAAGTGCTCTTTAGTGTATTATTAAATCGATCATTCAGAAAGAAAATAACATCAAAAGATCTTTTTAACAAAGAGTTAAATGATACTATCAATAGGAAAAGCTTCGACAGAAGCTTATTTTATAGATTTGTTCATCTTGAACTTTTCGTGGTGAATTAATGAATATTTAAAAAACAAATTTCGCTAAGCTTCTGAATTTCAAATATTCAAAAAAACTAGAAATATATATGAAAAAAAAATAGTTGTTTTACTAAATATTTAAACAATCTGATATTCTTCATTTATTTACTATAATTTATGCTATCAAAATCGGCTTTAATACATTTATTGTTATCATGATTTGAATACTAATTCAAAATCGTATTAATATTCATAGAACAACTGTTCAAATTCTATTAGTACATCTGTTAATTATGAAGAACAAAACATTTTAATCATTTCTCTACAAGCTTACCTTAATAAAATACGTCATGTAGGTATATGGACAATTGACAGCTACAAAACAAAAACAGAAATAAATCTATACAATTTTTTTTTTGTCCTAAATTTTAACAATGATTTTTTCATACCACCAAATCCACTTAGAATAGCCATAGCTGTAACACCGATAATTCCTACTCGACTAACACATTGTTCGATACTAAAAAACTCATGTCGATTTGATATTGGAAATGGATTACCCAATTTCCAGAATATATATAAATAAAAGCACCATGTAATCAATGTAAAAAATAAGACAAGACGAAAATTTCGCACTGAAAAAAAAAATCAATATGAAATAAAAGAACACGTACAAAATTAATTTTTAGTTTTACCGATCTGAATTGTGTTTAATAATAAATATGCAATATATAATGGAATAAGAAAAACAAGTAAAAACAGCATAGAATAAAGACCAAGACGCCAATGAAGATATCGTGATCTAAATGAATTCAGTATATTTTTCAAAAATGAAAACGAATTTGAGAACAGGAATGTCTTTGGTAACTATGATGCTTCCCGTGTTGGAAAATTTTTATTTTATGAGTCATCTAATTTTTCTCCTCCAAGTCCTGCGGATTTCCGAAAATCAAGTTGATCCTCTCAGAGTTGACGCTTATCGTAGCACGTACAATATGTCTGTACTCCAAAAATAATTTTTTTGTTCACTCCAAGTATTTCAATGCCCCTCCAAAAAACAAAAATCTGGATAACACACTGTTCGAGACACCCCTGTATGAAAGAAAAAAAAAACATACGTTGGTTCTAAGAAAGCGAGTATTTCAAAAATAATTAATTCGAACATCATACAACTTAATGCGAACGTAACTGCAAATGAAAGAATTACAATTCGACTTTGTACACCATAATTTTCACTTAATTGACGAACAAAAAATAAATAACCACCAATAAAAAATACAATCTAAAAGTTCACATTATTAATTAATAATAATTATTATTAATTAGCGTAAAAAATAACATACTTCAGATATTGTTAGAATAGTTGTATCTATCAAAAGTGACATGACTAAAAAAAAAACTATTTCAAACTTTTAATGAAAATGACGTATGCATATATAATATAAAGATAATTAAATGATCTAAAACAATTGAAATTACTTTCATCCTCATATCTATACTCATATAATCAGCTGATTATAGAAAATGACCTGGACCCTCCTTAAGAACGAAAAAGGTAAGCTGCGGAGAAAAAAAAGCATGTGAAGATTACCACGAGAGTAGCAACAGCTCGGATTTGTCGTTAATGTATGTCGAATCAAATGATTGCTTGAGTTCTTCTTAAAACATATTAATATAAACTTATATAGATCAATCTATTTATTCAAAGGTTAAATAAAAATATTATTTAAGATCAAACTATAGATGACGCCAAATATAAGTAGGTAAACGTATTACATGGTTCTAACAGCTTATCAGGTATGAATTGCACACTATGAAACTTTACTTGTAAAATTGATTTTTGAGTAATAGTTAATGAATATCATGATATTTCATTTATCAAAGTATTGCTATTCGATTTCTCTAAGAACAGAAAAAAAACAAGTTGACTATTTTTCGACATTGAAATCATCAATGCCAAGGTTATGAAAATTGGTATTTTATTTGAGTATCATGATGAATATTATCTCGATGCATCAATACTTATAAGAATCTATGAGGTTTTCAGTCTATACGCAATTTTTTACATTGAAAATGTTTTCATAGATCAGTTGATTCAATATTTAGAAATATTTCATTTCTAATTTCTCCAGGACTTCATCAATACTCGAAAGTACCTGTGACATATTAGTCACAAGGTACTCTAAATTTTGACATAATTCTTGTAAAATCAGATACTACATGGAGTCAGAAAAGTAAATCTTTATTTTAACATGAACATTCTGGAAAAATTCATTGAGATAATACATTCAAAAATTTGACGGAAGATTACCATTTTTGTTTCTATCAAAAGATATTCATCCTGCTTCTTTGTTCTTCTACGAAAATATTCGATGCTCTCAGTATGTTCGTTAATTTGAATCTAAGTAACTAGTCTTATTCTAAAATTCTGCAATATTTATTGAAAGAATAAATTTCTTATTAACACTTTTGCTTGCGAATATCTCATATATGAGATGATGACATTATTCCTCTAAATGCATGTATCGAATTGTACTCAAAGTGCAGTGTGATACAAGAAGCTAACGAGCCTGTCTGTTATAATGAGAGACAGACTGTAGGCAATGTAACTGTGGCAGCAAATACGAATTTTTGATACAAAAAATTCCAACTACTGCGAAAGATTAATGTTGGTTTTTTTTAATACATAGTGCTCTGTTTTAACACCTATTATAAATTGATATACTTCGAATAAGAATGGTATTATAAAGTAAGAAATTTATTGAATGCTGGGACTTTTCGACGTGCAAGCTTTTTACAGATTTTAATAAGAACTACTGTGACATTAAATAGAAACAATTTTTTCATAAAAATAACACCTGCTGTGAACAACTTGATATTAATCAGTCATAAAATTATTCATTTTCTGTTTTACACTTCACAATTTTACCATTCTTGTTAAACAATACTCTATCATATTTGTATTATTTTATCAATGTAAATAAAGAAATTTTCATTCAATTGAAATATTTCATTCAAGAATTTGCTTCTTTTAAAGGAATATAAAATTCTAATTAACATCTTTTAAAAGAAATATAATAGTTTGTAATTAAGTCTTCCTACTTGTTCATTATCAAATGTTCATTGATTAAATATGCATTCATGCTTTAATTGAATTTTATCTATTATATGATACGCATATATTTAGCTTAAATATTGTCATTCAATCTATCGATGTGTGACGTTCATGGTTAACAAAGTATATCTAAAATGTGATGACCTTTTATTCTAAATTGCTCCTACTTTATGTGTGATTATGAAGGATAAAACAATGTGTTTCATGTTAACTGATCAGAGATAAATATACCAACATACATACTGTTGTCATTTATCACTTGAGAAAAGAGACAGAAAGAATGTGAGCACAAATGCCAATCGATGTTTACTAAATGAAGAAATTGATTCCTTGTTGATGGCATACATATACTAAAGACGCGTTTGCCTGACTGCCTGTTGTGTAAAACAAACAAGCGTCAAAGACTGTCATTTTTTTTTTCTTTGGAAGGACAATGACAATGATGATGATAAATAGTCTAATACTGTATTTGCTCTTGTTCTAATGATCTTATCAAAATATATTCAACAGACTTTCGAACTTGTCAAGTAATACGAAGAAAATGATCATATGTATATAACTTAGTCAAAAATCGATACCCATATAGTATATTATACATTTATATATGAAATATTATTTTTGGTTAGTTTTTCTTTTTCACTTTTGTCTATCGTTCTCCCAATCATTCAATGTTTGTTTGTGTGATACATGCACATAGTTAATCATTAACAATTTAGTTATACTAGAAGTATCATTGGAATTCTAATGAAGATTTTTCATGGTTACTTTTGAATACATCAATGATTTTTCTTTTTTTGAACAACGACGAATATCAGAAAGCCAAAAAGAAAAAGAAAACAATCATTGTAAGCATGGTTACACTCGTTTATCAATTTTTTTAATCAATATTCTACACCTGCTTTTATATATGACGTCTTCTTCCTATTTCTTTAGGCGATCAGTTACAAAAAAAAACAAAAGAAGAAAAATGATATCGTTTATTACAACATTAAAAAAAGTTTCCTTAAGTAAATTCTTTATAAAAAAAAAAAAAGTTCATATCCTTTCTCCTTTTTTTTTACATATTCATCTTTAGTGATGACAAAGTGATCATTTATTCACTCATTCTTGTATATGCTTCGAGCATTGACGTATGAAAGATATCAGTTTATATATATATATATATATATGCATATGCATCAACACTCAGCGATGCATTTTAATCGGACTATCACATTTTATAGTCTATCTGACAGGTGAAGTGATGCGATCATCGAATATATATATGCTGATGTGATTCATTTTAAAGTCAATATGCAAACAGAATAGTATTCATCACGTAGTCGTTTCGTTTTCTTTTCTTTAGATTTAACACTTATATTTGAGAAGGTCAGTGAGGAAAAGTAGCATTCTTTTCATTGAGGAACACGTTTATCTATTACATGAAAATGATGACGTGACTTACATATTCTCGCCCTTTTTTTTTCTTGTCTAGCAAATTTATTTATAGTGTATTAAATAATAAAAAAAAGGAGAAACATCGCTGCTCGCTGAGCTGACACAAATGTTGATATACATCCTGTGCTATCCTTTTATAAGCAACGTACACATACCTGTCAGTGGACTTGCTAATTATATGAGCGTTAGTATGTCATATACAGTAGGATTTTTTTTCATACATATAAACGAATGCTTGTTTCTTTTTTTTCCCAAGGAGAAAATTTAATTAATATCCATTTCAAAATAGAAGAGTCCTGAGTATTTTTTGAATAACTTTTGATAAAAATGAGATAGAGAGCTGCGATTTTCACCATTTGAAAGAGTGAGGTCCGGATCATTGATCGATATAGAACTCATTAAGACGAAAGATGTTTTTTTTTTATAGACATCTTCTGATCAATACTTTTTCCTTTGCGTATTTTCATCAATTTTCACAATAATGTCAACTCAAATTTTGTCAAAATGTAGCTCGAATCGCACTTTTTTTTCGCTATAAAATTATCATAGTTTTCATTATCTCTCAACCTCTTATTGTATGTGGATTTAGAAAAAAACAAATGTTAATCTTATAGCGAAAAAAAGTGCGATTCGAGCTACATTTTGACAAAATTTGAGTTGACATTATTGTGAAAATTGATGAAAATACGCAAAGGAAAAAGTATTGATCAGAAGATGTCTATAAAAGAAAAACATCTTTCGTTTTAATGAGTTCTATATCGATCAATGATCCGGACATCGCTCTTTCGAATGGTGAAAATCGTAGCTCTCTATCTCGTTTTTATCAAAAATTATTCAAAAAATACTCAGGACTCTCGTATTTTGAAATGGATATTAGTTACTCGAAAAAAAATTTCATTTTTAACTTATTTATTTTTCTTTTAACATAAAACACTTGATAAAATTCTTTGTTTTTTTTCAGATAATTGTCTGAATGAATGAAGCTATCTCACGCACGTAATATTATAATTTTATCTCTTATTCTTAGTTTGATTTCATTCATACTAAGTTTAATTGCATATTATCGACCTAATTGGAAACATGTTCAACTTCGTTCAACATCAATACCTATAATTATCTCAGAAAATGATCAAATAGATCCACTAATTCGTAGTGAAGTTGATAAATATTATGATTTACTCTATCATCGAGGTATGTTAATTTTATTTAAAGTAAAAATAAACTAATTAATATTTGGTTTTTAGGTGAAACACATTCATATGGTTTATTAACTGTTTGCATAGCTGGAGGTGAATGCGGTCGAAATCTTTTACCTTCATTTCATGAAGCTAATTATGGACTTTGCCATAATGTAAAATATCATCATCAATGCATATTTTCAAATTCATTATCATCATCAAAAAAATGCACTTGTCAAAAACCATCCTATATAAGCATAACTCGCACTTCACTTATTTTAATTCTAATTCTTCAAGTTTTATTTATTTTTGTTAATCTTCTTCGGTTATTTTGTCATCATTGTCAGATGTCTTCTCTAGATGATATTCAATTTCGTCTGATTGCAATCATATTAACTCTAATTTCTTTATTATCTCTTATTATCATTATAATACAACAGAATACAAATCGTTTTAATGAACCATTAGAATTTTTTCAATCCATGTATCGTCATTATTTACGTATACAAATTTATAAATTTTCAAATGATTTAGATTTAATTATTAAACAACTTGAACATGATTTAGATATACGTTTAGGTACATCATATATATGTATTATATTTATATTGATATTAACATTCATTTGTTTTCTTACATCATCGACAGTTGAAATAAAAACTGCATCAAAATTTGATGAAGATGAAAAGATAAATGAACAAAATCCTATATTAACACAAGCTCCTCCAATAGAACGTTTTGTACCATCCGAACAAATTCGATTTACACGTCAAACTAAAGTTTAAATTTTAGAATAAGCATGTGTGTGTGTTTTTTTGTTTTTTTTTGTATGAAGATTTTAGGTTAGAATAACCTCGAACAATGAAAAGACATAACATTAGAATATAAATTATGAACTATGAATCAGTTTGCTATTGTTAATCCAATTAAATAATTGGTGAAAACATAGTTTTTATAAACCAAACAAACAGTTTGAAAACACACTAAAATGATAATAATTCATCAGAAGATATTGCTGATGACACATCGCGAAAACTATCAGTTCTAGCGAAAATTACCACTTGAAGGAGTTTTCTTCTTAGTTACATTGAAGAAAATTAAGATTTTCCTTACCACTGTTCAGTGCAGTTTTTTTATAAATATTTTGGCTCAGAATGACTGAACTTATGAAAAAAATTAGACAAGTCTAGGTAAACATTTTTATAAATACTAGGACAGAATGTCTTCTTTGCCTTAATATTTTTCTGCTTACTGCTTTCATATGATAAATGATATACATGAAGAGACTGATTATAATGAAATTTATTAGAGTACCTGATATCGTTGTACAAGCAATCTCAACATTGAATAGTTTTTAGAAATCATAATAGCGATTTGACTCAATATCTTTCCTTTCATAGATAAGAATACGTTTTGCTTATAACATACATCAAGGTACCTGAACAACATAAGTTTCTTACTGAGCTATTAAATTCTACAAAATTGTAAAACTTAACATTTAAATGACATCCTAATACCCATTTCATTTTTTTAAACAAACTGTTAAAAACCTCTCAAAAAAAAATACTTCTTATTAGAATTGTCGAAATTAAGATAAATGCATGAAAATATAGCCCGTGATATGATCGTTTATAAGCGATGAAAATTATTACTCAGCATCTCGTTTTCCAAAAAAAAAAAATATTATAAAATGAAGATCATAGAGAATTTTTGGAAACAAAATGAGCTATTTTTTTATCATTGTGTGGTGAATATCACCCTCACACGTCATAATGCAAGGCTGAAAATCTCATGTGATTCCAGTGTATCTGACTTGAGATCAATTTTTGAGGAGGGATCTTAATCATTCTTACAATTTATATGTATTTTTACAGTTGTTGTTTTATTGGCTACACTGATGAATGCATCAATCCAATAGTATCTCGATTACACAATGGATGAACGATATGAAGACATATGAACAAACAGATAAATAATAGTGATGTCGCTTGAATGTATTTGTTATTTTCAAAGAATATTCTAGTAGATTGATTGAATCGTGTACAGATTCTCAGTTTTTGAAGTATCTAAGAGTACATAAAAGAGTATAATAAATTATCTCATCGCTTGAGAGCACAAAAATGTTCATGGATTTTCACTATATTATAGACGTTATATCTTTACTTTATTGATAAAAATCATTGATGAAAGCGAGAAATTTTTTTTTCTATATATGGTAGATATCAGTTAACAAGACTTATTCATAGTTTGTTATCATTAGAAGTTAGTGACGAAAACAACAAGATAATTTATATTACCGTTGGTGACAGTTGTGGGTGGACCCTTTTCGTTTCTCAGTATCATTTACGTATATAGATAATCTCACATGACTTAACTCGTTTCGATGATAATAAGAAAAAGCACATATACATATAAACACGTATAATCGAGATGCAGTGGTACAAGACAAAACTATTTTTTATTGCTATATTTTAGATTATTTTCAACATGAAGTATTTAACAATTCTTATTTTACTTGTTCTCATCAGTTGTTTGTTTGTCTCACAAACAAATGCGTAAGTTGTAAAAAATCTTTCAATGTTTATCATCTAATGTATTTCATAATAGAGTTTTTGGAAAAGGCAAACCGAAGGACGACGGTAAAGGTCAATGTAGTGTGTACAAAGGTCGATGTGGTGGTGCACTTAGTAATACATGCTGTAAAACACCTTTAAAATGTTCTAAACAAACAGAAATTTGTGGTAAAGATAAATTATGTTGTGTAACTGAAGCCGATATTCAACGTCATAAACAAGCAACAGGTCCTTGGTTAAAACAGCGAAATGGCTAATAAATATGAACAAGCATTATACTATTGCATACACTGATATTTATTCATGAACGAAAATTATTCTATTCTTTAGTATTCTCAATAATCTTTATATATTTCAAATAAACTTCATTTATTCGATTCAATTGTTTCATCATTGATATTGTACCTAAAGCAATCATTCTAGTTCTTCATTGTTTCTGTTATGATAGTCTAGTAAAATGAATTTACGAATAGACATTCAAATATTATAAATAAGAGCAATATTGAACTTTCATACTGGTAGTCTATGATGTGAAAATTGATTGTGTCATATGTTATTGCAAATAATCAGTAAAATATGCATTTTAAAGGGAGATGAGTGTTTGATGTGTGCAGCACACGATTTATTATAAAATAGTCGTTTGAAACTTCATAAATAGCTCCAAAATTTTGGTTTTTAATATTTCTGAAGAGTTCTTAGGTGTTCAAAAATATTTTACTAGTGATATGTTGTCATATGATATCATTTTCCTATTTTTGCTGAAAAGAAAAAAAAAATGGTATCTATGAAACTTTTTGCTTTAATTTATCAAAGACAAGTGTAGTTATCAATATTTTAGTATGAAAATGAAGCTCAAGACATAATCTTTCATTAGTAGAAAAATAAATAAATTTGCTTGAGAAATAGGCTTCCTGAAGCCTTGACAATAACCCAATGGTTATCAGTGTGCCATTTTCTTCCAGTATAATATTTGCTTCTGAAACTTTCAAGAAATAATGAACAATTGTGAAGAAACATCTCTGCAAAATTTCAGGTAGATCTATTAAGCTTTTACTGAATTATAGGTCTCACAATGATCTCACATGGTTTCCTTGTATATCGATGGTTACAGTAAAATGGTCATAATTCATCAACGGCTCGAGGAACTTCAATGAAATTTATACTGTAGATAGGTAGAGTAGAGCACTACACAATGAGATGTTGATCGCCTCAACAGATCTTTTCTTTCTCGAATTATGAATTTCACAAGGAGCATGACTACTACCTAGTACAACTACGTTCTGACTCGAGCAATTTTGACGTGAGTGGTGCTGACGATCAGCGGTCGTCATAGAGTATATGAAAACAAAATTTCAACTGTCTAGCTCCTATAAAGACTGCAGTTCAAGGGGGGTCGGGACTTATGGTCAGCACTGTATGTGAATGCAGTTTGCAGTTTGCTTTGAAATAAGCCAGATAAATAGTTGACTGATTTCAAAAAATCTCTTGATTTTTCTCCTGGTTTTTGTGCAGACATTTTCGGATTTTTGGAATTTGGATTTGGCAGTTCTGATCTTATTTGTTATGTTCTTTCTCATAGCTCTCATATTCCATATACAAGCCAATTGTTACTAGTAAATTTACAGATTCAGTGAAAGGAGAGAACTACATATTTCTTGTCCGTTAAGAGCATCCTATTGGTCTACCTCTCAAGTATTGCTAGAAGTATGAATAACACCTGCACGTAGTTGTGAATCATATGTAACATGTACGATAGTCTTTTTTTACCGAATTAAAGAAATCTATTACATACGGCTGAACTTCAAAAATGACTTTCCAACATGGTTAAAGACGAATCGTTTAGTCATAACTGACCAATAAAAGCAGAAAAACTACATGCAGAAATATGTTTGGATTAGGATGTCGCGAAAACCTTTTTTTCTCGATGCTAGTCTATTCAATTACAGCACCTCTGTTGCATACATAGATGTTCCTGCAAAGACGACAATGACTTGAAAACGATAATATGTCACCAATAAATGGTTTTCAAAAAAAAAGTAGACTCATGCGGACAATAGATAAAGACGGATCGAAAAGATAACGTCACAGATACATACTGTTGCAGACGAGAAATGTATTTTTCGGCCTTTACTTGTCAAATGAAGTGATTTGTATTATGAGAAGACATGAAATTCATAGCCTGGTTGAATGAATGCTCATTAAACATGTCGACTGCCTTTTATTTATGTACCTTTGGTTTTTTTTCTCCATTCTTCTCTACCGATTCAATTCATCATACTTTATGCTATTTAAGAACTCTGTGCCATTTCTTCCTGCATGAATGAATAGTTTTAAGAATTAGTTACCATAAATATCGCACTGTATTTTCGAATACAAATCTAAAAAAGAAGTATGGAGGCAAGAAAATAGTGGAACTCACGTAGAATTAATTGATATGCAACATTATTATCAGATGATCAAAGATACGTTTGACCGAAGTTTAAATACACAGTATCTTTCTTTTCTTTACTAGCCGATCGAATCTTTGATCGATCTTAATTTTTGGCTAATATAACTCTTTGGGAATCACCAACCCACTCATTACAATACCATATTGTCTGGGCCACATCTCCACAGATTCTTGACTACAATAGCAAACTTCTGGTTTTGACCAACAGCAATTGGACATTGAGTAGAATATACTTTATTCCTTTTAGATTACACTTTTATTTTCAGAATTATGTTACCACAATAAGACTTCTAAATTCAATGTGACTGCATACGAAAATGGAACGTGAATGGATGTGAATGTCGGTGTGTGGATCAATATCTTCTCTTCTGCCACACTCACACCTTCACCCTTCTAACGTCAAATTTGTTGGTTTTAATACATCAGTTGTAGCTCCACAATAGAAATCATCGATGGAAACGCCAACACATGGTGATGTTAAGGACGTTTTTTTCAAGAAGTGTAGTCTATAATGCTTTATTTGTTGATATTGATTCAATACACTGCTTACAAAAGAAAACTAGATGAAAATCGATTTGTTGAAAAGTGCTTACATGTGCTTTAATAAAAATAGTTCGACCTAGTTGCAGTGAGAAAAAAAGGAACAAGATACTTATCTCCAAAAAAATATCTTTCTAGTAAATTAGTATTATTTTTTGAAAAAACCTACATATCGTTAAGTATACCTATACCCACTCCCAAAACAAAGCTTATTCTGTTTCTG